TAAAATCTTAAAATAAATAAATAAATAAACATTAAAAAAAAATAAAAAATGAACTAAAAATGGGACGGTCCATAATCCTGTCGATTTAACACACTGCGGAGTGCCACATTTGTAATGCCTCATTTTACAAACTACTCCATTCATGGCACCAATACCATTTGTTTCTGTGACTTGAAGTGTCTTAATAAGGATTCCAACAAAATTTTCACATTTATTGTTTAATGACTGGATAATATTTTATTGATTTGATGTACCACAAAAACTCAAAAACTTTTTGGGTTTGGGAGCCTATTATAGAAAATATTGCAACAAAGAATTCCTTACAAATATATTTTGTAATTATTCCTTCCACAGAAGGACTTACAGGATCAAATGGTGCGAACATCTTTTTGTCTCTTGCCATGTAGCTGCCTAAAAGGCTTGTGCTAATTTACAGTTCAAACAACAATAAACAAGAAAACCAATTTCCCTACATAATTCTGCTGCACTGGGTGTTCTCATTCATCCTTGGTACTTGTCATTTGAGAACTCAAAGTCGCTGTGACTTTTATTTTCAAAAATTTCTAGCCAAGATGAACATTCTTTCATGGGCTTGTTCACTCACTGTGTTGCCTCTTGCGCAGATTTTTTTTTTTTTTTTTGCCCTCAGTCCATTAAAGTTCTGATGTTTTGATGTTTTCCTGTCTCATTTCTTTTTCTCTAGGGTAGCTCTCTCTATGTGAACTCAGAAGAGAAGAAACTAGAATTAAAATGGTGCCTCTAGCTGTGTTTGTTATTTGGGCTTTTTCCCACCCTTTTCCAGAAAGACTTAAAAGAAATTACCAGTGCCTTTGTTTATAAACCTCACTTTACTCTGAAATAATTGGTGTAGATCAAAGGGAAGTGGAGGGATACTGCAGAGTGATCAGCTGATAACCATTTCTCCTTTCATTTTCCTAGCCTCACAGCTTTCACATTAGAGAGATCACACACAGCTCGGTTTCTCCTGATAGGCAGCCAGTTCCATTTTGGTGGGGAGGTGGGAGGAGAGAGCCTTATCTTGAGAGGAGAATGGAATCAATGAAAAGAGCTGTTTGCTCTACGGAATGGAGTGGAGTATAGTGAGGAAGGGAGGCGGAGAAGGGATATTTGTTTTTTCTTAAGTGCTTATAATTAAAGCCTTCCCCCCAGCTGCTCGGTGAACCAGAAAAAGGTATTGGTGAAGTTGTGTGTTTTTAACATCACAAATGAGCCTTGCAGCCTTAATAGAAAAACTTGCTCTCCGGCGGCACCTTGTGGAAAGTAGGTCATCCTGCAACTCGGATACTTGATTGTGTTTAAAGGAAATCGCTTCTGGTAGTTGTGTGCTCCTACCCCGTTACCCACTTTGCCTTCTAAACATCAAGGGATTTTGTGAAGGATTATGTCAGCTGTTGTATTTTTGTATGACAATCGCTGAACAGTAAGCTGTATCTCCAGGTATGTATTCTGGAGTTGCATGTCAAACCAAGTAACTATAGTGATTCTTAATGTTGCATCAGTAAAGTCATCTGTGGAATTTTTAAGGTCATTCATTCAAGAAAGCACTGATTTGGGCTTTAAATTTTTGTTTTCCAGGTGGAAACAAATTAACCAAGCAGCATTTTCGTCTGAATTGGGCATGGATCTCCTTTGAAAAGGACTATTACCTGATCAATGAGGACTCCAAATTTCTAGATGTCGTTCTTAAACGTAGAGGTTACTTGGGAGAGACTTCATTTATAAGTAAGTTTAATTTGCACTTCTGTCAAAAAATCCCCTTTTTTTAAGCAAAAGTTCGTAATTTTACAATGATTAAAATATGTTCCTTTTACTGCTCTAGTTTTAAAGTTTAGGGAGCTGTTGACATTTAAAGGTTCTTTAACTGCTAAAGAAATATGCCAAGAGTTTCATGTCAAGGCTAAATCATAGACAAAAGGCTGCAAAAATAAGAAATGTGTAACCAGTTAACATACCTCTCCAAACCTTCTACCTACATAAGATCTTTCTCTGATGTAAATAACCTTACAAAAATGGCAGTAATCGCTCATAAGTTAAAAAACTGTAAATGTCACTAGCCCTTAGAAGAGGCTTAGGTGAATCTGTAATTTAACCATAAGATAAAAATCTGCAGAAATGTCAGTATAAAACCTATATGAGGGCCACTTTAATAAGTAAGTGAAAAACCATTCAGTAACCTATTAGGCGTTGAGGTGTAATTTACTATTTGTTGCACTGGAGTGCTTTGCTAGGTAAGGGAAAGTTTACATAAAAGCACTACATAAAAGATGTACATTGTGACTTTTCTTCAGAACCAACAGTAAGATATTAAATACTAGTCATTTTCTGCTGCTTTACCCTTTTAAATAAAACGGAGAGTCAAAAGCAAAGAATAAAGCCTTTTTTACAAGCCCAATTCAAGTTTTCACATTCAATTTCATGCAGGCACAAAATAGAGAAAAGTAGGTATACTGGTAATTTTAAGCAGTAATACTGTCGGCACAAAAAAATTGGCATATTGATGAAAAATGCCAACCAATAATATATTGGGCACCCCAACCAATATATTATTTTTGGTACCATATGTTTTATAGACATCTAGGCTGATAGAATTTTCTCGAGGTAAAGGAGCTTTCGTTGACTGAGAGTGCAGTTAAGGTAGGAATCTAGGAAATGTCGGCAATAAAAAAATTAAAACTGGGCAATCCTGTGTTAGTCTGGAAAACAATTACTTGAAATTTTACTGGTCCGTGAAATTCAAAAGCCTTAAAGAGTAGATCCCTATTCACCCACGTACACACACATATACACACATAGCATACCCCCTACTTCAGCCACAGCCACAATCCCCACCCCCGACCTTGTTCCCTCTGACTTTTGGATGCCGGATATTAATTACCCCTTATTTTTATTTATTTATTTATTTTTAAAGATTTTATTTATTTGAGAGAGAGAATGAGATAGAGAGAGAGCATGAGAGGGGCAGGGTCAGAGGGAGAAGCAGACTCCCTGCTGAGC